CCTCCGCTCCGCGGCGCCCCGGCTCGGCCGCACCCACTGCGCGTTTGTGAGCTGGCCATCGGTCACACTGGGATACTCGAGGAGGCGGCGCGGGGCCTCCATTCAATTCCCTAAGAGGGACCCGCGCTGGCCGCTGCAGGCGGGTGGAGAACGCGCGTGAGTCTTTGGCTTTCGTACCGGAATCTCCCTGGGAGATTTTACAAGCCCCTCCAATGTTCTGATTGAATTGGTCTGGGGGTCGGTCCGGGCATCTAACGAGCAGCCGGGATGGAGAATTACGTCTGGATTCTGGTCCTCAGAAGTTCACTCACGTTAATCAACCCGCGTCCATTTTCGTGGGATTGTCTTGCTCCGAGGCCCTTCCACTGAGCTTTATTTTCCTGCCTGATTTAGGGGTCTGCTAACAGGATAAACAGCGGACCATACAGGCACGGTGAAAATGGCATTTGGTGACGTGGAGGACCCAGCTTGCCACCATTGAGGCAGCTCTCCTCAGGTTCTTTTGTCTTGGTTATCCCCGAGCTATCTTCAGGAACCGACAGGCTACCCCCCGCCCCCCAACGCCCGGAATGAAGGCCAGTAACTGGAGGCCAGGAATAATCAAGCACGCTCTCATTGCAAGGAGGTGACGATTGTGCCCGTTTAAAAGGGATGCCTGAGACCATGAGGATTTGGAGTTTTGGAGGCGGATCTGCCTTTGGGGAGTGAGCGTAGGGCCCTAAGAGGTGGTTGTGCTTTGAGACAGTTCCCGGGGTGATGTGTCCCATCATCCAAACATTGCAGCAGAAGTCAAAGCTACAGAAAGACTCGTTTACTTCCAGCTTTAACATTACCAAAATATGGTATTTGTCAAAAAAATGTAGTATCTGTATAATTTGAGAATGTAATTGAAGAACCCGATATAGAGCTTTTAGAAAGGGGAAATAGAAAACTTAAAAAGAATCTTGCTTGGTTTATTAATACCAACATCTAAAATATAACAAAATTCAATAAACCAATGAGTTTTATACTATGATTGAAATAAAATGCCACTATGTTCTTAAGAGTGCTAGTTTAACAGGAAATCTCCAAAGCATTATTATCCAGACTCATCTCAAAGGTTCACTTTTCATTTGCATGAGCCCTTGCTATTTGGAGGGTAGGAGGGTGCACCTCGTTCTGGTGGCTGCCACCTTGATGAGGAGACACTCCTTTTAACAGGATGGTTAGCCCACGGCTTTTCCCAGCCCCATTTTCCACACCCAGTAAATTGTTTTAGTTTATGGACCTCAGCTGCAGTTGCAATCATCATCAAATTCCAATTTTGAATTTAAAGGTGAATAATGAATGCAATGAACTTTCTAGAATTTATGAAGGGCAGTGATGTTCCTTTTTATCTAATACTTCTACATGTGTAGCCTTTCAGCATGCTATTTTGTGGACTGAATTTACAAATTGTCATTTGTTTAATGAACTGTAAATATAACATGATGACTAATTGAAAACACATACAATTTGCTGGTATTCCAGAAGTCTATGGATTTTGTTGTTTTGTTTATATAAAAGGCATTAAAAGCAGCTGCTTAGTATACTTA